TGCTATGAATATACAAGCCGCTGAACCTGCTGATCTGAACCGTGCTATACAAGAGATACGTAAATGGGAAACTGGACGAGTTATGATCTCTGAAAATAATACAAATGGTAATGAAAATGACCAAGCTATTGCCCGCCTTACCGAACAAATTGCCAAGCTCAATATCAATCTTGCTAAAAAACAACCTGCTACTCCTGTCTATTATTCTGAAAATAACAACTCTTCTTGTCAAGATAATAATAATAACAATAATAATAATTCTCAAGACTATACCTGCTACTACTGTAGCAACCGAGGACACTTTATTAGAGATTGCTATGCACGAAGAGAGGATAATAAAAGAAGCTCACATGATTATTGATTCTCTAGCCGAGATAATAGATACTTCTCTAGGAATAATCGATCCTATGATAGATCTAGATCTCGCAATAGAGATAAATCTAGAAACAGAGATTATAATAGAAGAAACAGATCCAGAAATAAAAGTTAATCTCGTGATAGATATCACTCTGACAACCATTCTTCCTATGACCGGAACCATAGATCTAGAAGCTGATCCTCCACCCTTTACCCTCACAATGCATATACTGCAAATATAGCTAATGACTATATCTACGAGCAATTTGAACAATTTTTAGTTAACGAATTTATTCGAACAGCCTTAGCTAGCTATCTTACAGAAGAATCTAGCACCTCTAACCAGACACAAATACCAACTTACACTACTCCTGTTAAGTGTAATATTAAACTTAGAAACAGACCATACCATGCTATTGTTAATAGTGGAGCTGCAATTAACACGATCTCCCACAAAGTTGTTAAGAAACTTGGCTTGAGAATTGAAGCCTCCTCTACAAGTTTAATTGTATTAGCTACTGAACCTTCTATTAGACCCCTAGGAATTATTAAAAATCTGCCAGTAGAAATTGAAGAAATTACTATCTCTCTTGATATAGAAGTCATGGACGCTATATCTTACTCCTTGCTTTTAGAAAATGACTGGTCACAAAAAGTTAAAGCCAGTTATAATTAGAAAAATAAGGCCTATACAATTAAGTGGAATAAAAAGAAGATTCATGTTCTGACTACCTATGAACAATACCAACCCTTGCCAGCCCAACCAACAGTAACTGATGAAAGAGACCTAGCTCAATTCAAACAAGAATACTTTGTTTCAAAAGAAGCCTATACTGTTGATCCTATAGTAACCACTAATGAAAGCTTATGGATTACTTAGATCTCCAGAACCAGATGTAGGACCCAACAAGTACTCTCCACCAGAACATGCCAAGGATGTAACTCTGCAACCTATCTCTTTGCTAACTGCCCTCACAACCAATGTCATCGCTGCTACCAATATGGACATATCTTTGCTTATTGTTCTTACCAAGTCCCTAAATGAGATTTTGTAAAACCTGTGCTCAACCAGGACATTTCTATAGAAACTGCCCCCAGAATAAATACTACCAATGTGATCAATATGGTCATATTGGCATTAACTGCCTCTTGCCTCTATCAAGTTGAATAACCAAAGATACAAATATGGATATTTCTTTGACAAAGTGAATGAACAATGGCAAAGCTACTACTCTTGTAAAAGAGTTA